GTAAACCCTAAACCCCAGGAATTTGAGTTTTCCATCCCCCCCTGTCCCCGGGTACCGAACAACGTCGGAAATAACGTACCCCCTCCCCCCTTCACTGCAGAGCGAGGCTTGAGCGAGCTCAAGTCCACGCTCTCGGAAACTCACACGCCGGATCGGCGGATTTTTTTATTTTTCTATGAAAATCCCCCTGTAGGGGGACAGGCCCGACTTAGGCCCAGGACTTCCAAAGTTTCCCGAAGGGGGGCGATGAGGACAACGATGATCTTTTGCGTGTGGTGGCCCGGCAGGGGTTTTAGGCATTGGGAAGATTGAAAAAGATATCGGCAACGATTGTTCGCGAAGCCCGGGGGTGCGGACCCGACCTTCGCAGTCAGACCCGCCACCTCATTTAGGGCGCGTCTTGACAAGAGTTCGATGCGAATTTAGCCGCGACGGCAAAGGCCTCCAGCATCATCACCATCATCAGCATCATCATCATCAGCATCATCATCATCATCCTCTACTCCTGGAGATTTGAGCTACGGGTAGATGGCACCGCCAGGTCAATTGAGGCTGTAATTTGATGCAGGGCACATGAAGCACAAGCCGCGCGACGGACGTGCCGGAGTTGGCGGAGGGACCGCACGCAAACGCCCCGCGGTCAGGCGGACTCCGAGAGTTGGGCACGATCCGCGTGAGGGGTGTGCCGAAATGGGCGGGTCCATTTTGACGCGCGTTGGCTTCCAGTCGCGGGCCCGCAATCCGGGCGACCAGCGCTCAGAGGCAGACGGCGCAGAGGCTGCGCGGGCGCACCCCCGAGCGGGGGGAGGGAGCAGGAGGAGGAGGAGGAGGGGGGGCAAAGAACAGAAGGTGAGTAGACAGAGCCGAGGAGGAGAGAGGCGAGGAGGGCGCGGAGGCGGAGGAAGAGGACACGAAGGGTGGAGGAAGGGGAGGGCGGGAAGAAGGGGGAAGAAAATCAGGGGGGGAAGGGGAGAATCAACAGGAGGAGGACGGGAGTCCGTGCAGCAGCCATGCTGCAAGGCACCCTCCCGTGCCGAGTCTCCTCCCCACGCCTCCCCAGAACTCCTGGCGCGAAGCGCCCCCCCTTTGCAAGGCGGCGCAAGCCGAGGTTCGAGCTAGCAGGAGTACACTCGGACCGAGGTGTGTAGGACCGAGGCCGGCTCGGGGAGGGTACCCTGTCACCACCCACCAAACCACCCCAACCCAACCCGAAGGCTCAGATTTGCACGCTTACAGTTGACCCGTGTGCTTAGGAACATGATGAAGCTGGCTTGGTGAAGGCATTCCAGACTGACTATGCCACTCCCGTGCGGGTGGATGCAGGGCAACGCGTGCACCTTTGCACGCTGCCGTTTTTTGGTCAGTCTGGGGCGGTCCATCGGCTTGCTTTATTTTAACAAAAAAAAGATTTGCCTTCGATTTCTAGTGGGGGGGGGTCGGGAAACATAGAAAAGACACATGTGGAACCCTTACCCCCCCCCCCCAGCCCGAAATTCGGGTCTTCGGGTTGGGTTGGGGTGGTCTGGTAGGTAGTCACCCTGGTGCTCTTCGTGTCCACTGGAGGCTCCAGTGCATGTCGTGAGTGCCCCGCGGTCCGGCGGGGCGCCCTGCGCGCTGGGCCAATTGTTGCCCGCTTGGTCTTGCCGAACGGCCCGCAGAGGAGAATCGAGCCGCCGTCACCCGTGCAGCTGTTGCACCACACTGCGCACATCGGAATCCACTGTGCGGAGGGAGTCTCGGGCCCCTGGCATCGCTCGGACGTGTGCACGCTTTCTCGGCGAGGCCCATCGAGGAACATTTTACGGAAGTCCACGCACGAAATCGAAGCATGCATGGGGAATGGACGCCCGAGCGATGGCGAGGGCCAGAGCCCTGTATCTCGAAACACGTGCTTGGCGAAGGACCCAACCGTACGCACTTGTGAGCAACGCACTTGTGAGCAACGACTGTCATCGGTGGAGCTCCCCATGAGGCCACGGAACGTGTGAGGGGTGTGCCCAAATGGGCGCGGCGGGCGTATGCGAACGCAGCCACTGGGGCCTTCGGTGGAGCTCCCCATGGGGCCACGAATCGTGCGCAGGTCGTGCTTACAATTGAGCGTCGCCGCTTCCTGGCACTGCGCTGCTGGACGAGGTTCTCCTGGGATCATTCCGAGGTGCCCGGCCAGCGAAGCGCAACAAACAGGGAGGGAGGGCTGAAAATTGCTGCATTGCGCCGCCCTCGGGCCAAACGAAAGGGGGGGACAGGGAAAGGGGGGGTTACGACATTTGCTGCATGCAGCTGGTTTCGGCCCCACCGAGGGGCCCATTCCTCGATAAATGGGCGCCTCCGGCGCTGGGAGGCGCCGGGAAAATCAGCTACGTGAGCTTTGCTATCCCCCCCTGTCGCCCAGCCCGACGCCCGGGGGGCTGTTCGATCACCCCCCGGGGCTGGAGCACCCCTCTGACGGACAGGCCGACGGACAGACCACACCAGACCAGACCCGCATCCCTACAAGGAGCATTGGCGCGCCGCCCGCCCCAACGGAACGCCAGGGCGCGTGAGAGGCACCGCCTGCTCCGCACGGAGCGGCAGGTGGGCGAGACAACCGCGCGCCAACATATCAGAAAACCGATACCCCTAAGTAGCGTTCACAAAGGCAAGGCCATGAGGCAGAGGCCTCAACTTTCACTGCCCTCGAAATCGCTGCGCGACTTAGGGGCGACTGCAACTTGGCTTCGCCACTCCCTGGCAGTGCGCTCCCGCACGTGCAGCTGGACAGGATTTTCTTGGGAGAAGTCTGAGGTACCCCAATGCGCCCAGGGGGGCCGGACTGCTGCGCGAGGCCAAATGCAAATGATATTGGAATTACCCCACGTGCAAGCAGAAGGATGTTGCCCGGCAGCGTCCGATGACTCTGCTTTCTCAATGAGAAATTCCGCAACAATTCTTTTGTAAGCCCGCGCAGATGCGCAAGCGAAGGCGGAAAGGCCGCGCCGCCCGCATGAATAAAACAACGATGTCAGACCATTCGCCTGTAGGCACTCCGTGGCCCAACCTCGCCTGAATGCGTGAGTCCCCCAGTCGGAAGCATTACTAAAACCGCAAGCTCGGGCTGCCAGCTTCAATTTGGCGAAATTCTCGCAGCAGCTGGTCCCTGAAAACGACCGTCCTTTGGATCCGGCTCAGGGGAGCGACACAAACACCGCACAGAATTTGACATGGCAGGCTACAGATGCATTTTCTGACCACCCGCACCCGCTTTGCATAGCAATTTCTGCGCACATACGCAATCGTCATTTCATTACGTGTTCTGTTCGCTGCAACGATGCTAGCGGGAGCCGTTGACGATCCCACTTGCTATATTTCACCACAGTTCAAGCAAGAATGTTTCGCCACCGCCCGGGACGCGCCAACGCCCACACCATATCGCCAAAGCTCTGGTTTCCAAAGCTGTCGCCCGCACGCGCGACCGTCTGAGCGATCCGTCCGCCTTCTGCCCCTCGGACCGCTAGCGCCGCGTCCGCAGGAGGGCCCAAAGGACACCGCAACCAAAGAAGGACTGAACGGAGATGCGATCGATAGCGCCCCAGAGTCCCAGCCGCGCGGAACAGCCGGACACGCGCGTGGACGGTGGCTGGAGCGGGCGGCCACGGAGCAACCCCACAATGGAAAGCCATTCCCATAGAGCCGCGCTGCTGAGAAAATGCCGCGAGCACCTGCCTTCCAGCCGCAGGAAGCCCGCCGCGCAGCCTGCTCGGCCAGAGCCTCTGCGTCGGCCCCCCGCGGCCCCCCGGGCAAAACTTGCTTTTGAGGGCGCAGGGGCCGAACAGGCATGATCTCTTTCGACTTGACCAATGCCAGAATCAAGTCTGCCAGGACAGTTGGGTCGGGCGCTTTCCAGATGCCCGCGCAGCCGCGCGAAGCCTCGAAGCGGCTCGCGCGACCGTTGTCGCCCAGCTGGCTGGCCCGGAGACGGCGCCCGGCAGCGGAGCCGACCGATCAGCCGACATCGGGGTTTCTCGCGCAACAGTTTTGGGCGCAGTCCTCGCCCATCCCCAGCGGGGGCGATGCGCAGCTCTTTTCCCGCATGGTTCCAGGAAGACCGACGAACGCAGCCGGAACGTCAGCCAGCGCGGTCCAGTGCTCTCGCGCCTCCTCCGTTGCGCGCCCGGGAATCCCGATGGGGAAACGCTGCCTGCTGCGAACAACTCCGCGCGGAGACGAGCACTATGAACATGTCTTTTGGCGGCCCCAGCTGATCGCCGCAAATGATCGCCCGCCTCCGACAATGCTACAACGGCCGCCGCGCCAGACTCCAGTCGGAGCCTCGAATCCTGCGAGGAGGCGCCGGCTCCTATCCGCGCACGACTCCGCTGAATGAAATTCAACGTGCGAGCCAGACCGGCCGCGGAACGCAGCGCTTCCATTCGGCATGACAGGGGCACCAAAGAAGAATGGCCGGCAGCGGGTCTCATTTTTGCTCATGACTCCGATCAGCCCCCCGAGGCCCAAGGCAGCGCACGGGGCCGAGCCCATTCAAACCACTTACAACAAGGCGCCGGGGAAAGCTCTACATTGTGGCGAGAATGACTAAAGCAATGAGAAGCGGCTGTCACGCCTGGCCCTTCTGGCCATGAATTTAGATACCAGAAGCCATTTGCTCGTGGGATTTGGCGTAGAAAGCGAGCGCGGTGCCAGGCTTGGGTGGCGCAGCGAACACTTTATATATACATGATCATACATGTTCTTCTGCTTTTTATGATTGCTCGTCGTTTCCCCCCCTCCCCCGCCCCCCCCCCCCCTCTTCGAACGCCGGGCGGGTGGTCGGCATCGACCGTTTAGCGGGCAAGACGGCTTACAAAACAATATTAGTGGTTCATACGTGAGCGCACGCACCGCGCCGACGGCCCTCGACGCTGTCTGCGCAGCGCCCAATTCACGCTCACAGGGCGCGCCCGCCCGATCACTCGGCATTGCCAGAGGGCGCCGCCGCCGACCCCGAGGCCTGGGCGCCCTGTTCAATCGGGCGCCCGCGCTCGGCTTCGATGGGAGCCGTCGTTGTCGTCGCCATCGTCGGCGGCGATGAACGCCCCACTGGCCGAGGCGGCGATAGAGGCGAAGATCGCCTCCTGCTCCGCGGCGCCCACCTCCGACAGCGAACCTCCGCATCCCATCATGAGCCTCTTCGCCCTCTTCACAGGCGGAGGCGAGCACAAGTCCTCGAAGGCGTCGTGGCGCGCCCTGGCGAGGCCCTTGAAAATGGCGATCTGCTCGCCCTGGCCCTCCTTCGTCAGTTCCCCGCAACGCCCCGCGATGCCAGGCTGCGCGGCGCTTGCGGCGGGGGCGCTCTCCTCTGGCCCCTCCATGCCGCCGCCGAAACCGAACGCGTCCTCCTCGTCATATGGTGCGTCTGCCGCTCCATCGGAACGAGACGCCGAGGCGGCCGCGGGGGCGGACGGAGCGCTCGCCGCCGCGCCTGGCGCGAACCCCGAAATGGCGCTGGCAACGGAAACCGTGCGTCCAGGGCCATCACCAAACATCGGGGCAATGTGGACAGTCGCAACCGTGGGCACGTCACGGCCCTCCACCAAACTCTTCATGTTGCCGATAGACCAGTCCATCTTCTCGGCGTAGTTTGAAGGGAGCGGGCGGGCAGCGGGCGACGACGCGTCCCGCACCTCGCCGGAGAAGAGGTCGGAGGCTCTGGGGTTGGGCCGCGGCATGAACTCGGCGCCGTTCCCCAGATCTGCGGACGCTTCGCGCCAGTGCACCCCGAGGTCCGTGACCACGGCGAAGTGCGACCTGGCGAGGATGGCATTGAAGTCCTCCTCGGTCTTCACCTCCTCAAGCGACGGGACGACGATGCGCTTGAAGTGGTCCAAGTCGTACTTGTTGCGCGTCGCGGCAGCCAACGCCGCCCTCTCCGCGCCGCGGTCGCATGGGTTAGCAACGGCTTGCCTGCGCGACCCTTGCTCGAAATCGCAGCCGCCCCACCGAGCCCACAGCAGAGCATCCCCCTCCTTGGGGTTGAAGATTGCCTTGAGAACGTCAGCCGTTACCTTCAGGCGGCCACGCGTTGGCCCTACCACCGCCACCAAGACTTCCAAGTGGGAGAGGGTCGCAGGGGTTCGCTTCGCTCGAAGCCTCCCCGACGAAAGGAACCGCCCCCCCCCCCCCCAGGAAAGAGCGGGTAGCAAGGGTAGGGGTTACGCGTGACCACCGAACCTTCTGCAAGAGGCCGTCGTCGAAAATCCCGGGCAGGACGTCCGTCGTCGGCTCGCCCTTGAAGAAATCCATGTTCTTGACAGTGAGGAAGGCGGCATCGTCGGCGGACCCCTTCTTCTGGATGCTGCGCGCTGGGTGCACCCAAGCCAAAGTCTTAGAGCCGTTGCTCTTGCCGACCCTGGACTTCCCGATCCACAATACCCCGTGCATATGGAGGGTGCCAATCATGAACTTGAGGACGCCGTTGAGGCACCAGCCAGCGAAGTCCTTCACCGTCAAACTCCATCGCGTGATCGGCTCGGCGTTTGTCCTCCTCTGTAGTTGCGCAAAGCGGTCTCCACCTTGGCGGCTGGCCAACCGAAGCTTTTCGATCCCTCTCTACTCACCTCCACGTCGGCCCACTCCATGAACTGGTTCCTGTTGTTACTGCGAGGGCCATGCTCGCGGATGAACGCGCGCCCTTGCGAGAGCTCATCCGCCTCTAGCGGCTGCTTCCGCTCGTGTTGCGGCTTGATCGTGCAGTACCTTACGGCGGAGGCCTTGGATAAGGATGCCCTCGATAAGGAAGCAGGGGTCTCGCGGCCGAGAGGCGCTCAAACACGCGCCACCCAGCCCAGGGGGGGGGTGGGGGAATGCGCCTGCGCCTGGCGCTCAGGAGGGCGTTCCTTATCGAATGCCCCCACCGTATCTGATAGCCCTCGGGCTTCTCCAGCATGAACTGGAACGCAATCGACCCCGACCTGAAGTTTTTGCCGTAGTCGATCTCGTGGGCCTCCCCGCGGACGCAGCTGAGGATGGTCGCAGCATCGACTCTGTTCTTCTCGAAGCTGACAACCTTGAGGATGCGGTAGGTCGAGCACTCGGGGTCCGCGGGGTTCTCGCGCGTGATGAACAGCTGCAGCGTGCACGGAATGGCAGGCTCCTTCTTGAGCGACAATGGGTCCTGCAAGTCCTTGAAGTTACCATTGCAGCACAGCTCGTGGACCTTGTCGAAGCCGATTGGGCCCGCGTAGTTGGACACGACGTCAGCGAATGCGACCAGCTTCGTAGTGCTCGAGTTCGCGATCGGTACCAAGGGGAGATCAAAAACGGAAAGGTCCCCGCCGACGGACAACCTGTCCTTCTTGACGCATTTTGAAGGGTGGCAGTCCACCTTGCCCCCGCTGACCATCAAGCCCGCCTCCTCGAAGGTCAGCTTGCCGTCGCCGGCAGCGCCGTAGGCGACCTGCCCCAAGGAGGGCACCTGGGCGGCAGGAGCGCTCGCCATGGCTGGCGAGGAGAAGACGGCGGGGGTCGGGATCTGCATGAGGCCTGCGCCTGCGATTGAGCCGAAAACAGCTACGAACAAAAGGATGTCAGCAATGACGCGGTCATTGCTGCTAGGTGGCACGACTGGCGACTTGCCCCGCTGCACCTGCCCTGATCTCCCCCTCTCTCTCTCTCTCTCTCTTTCTCTCTCTCTCTCTCTCTCTCTCTCTTTCTCTTTCTCTTTCTCTCTCTCTCTCTCTCTCTCTCTCTCTCTCTCTCTCTCTCTCTCTCTCTCTCTCTCTCTATATATCTCTCTCTCTCTCTCTGCACCGCTGCCCGTGGCCCCGCATTTCCGTGGTAAGCACCGCCCTCAGTGCAAGCAAGAGTACTCGCACCCCCTGCACAGGCCGCTCATGACGCGACTATCATGCCGAAGCCGCCTCAGTAAGCCGAGTCCATGGCCTCCAAGATAGCGCTTGCGGTCGCCGCCCACAAGTCCTGGCCACTGTTCCAACACTCGAACTGGGCCGAGCGCACGGAAGCCGCGAGCTGCCAGTTGCCTGGAAGGTATGTGCGAGTGCCGATGAGATTCCCGATGAACCTCCATGCGCGGTCTATGATTTGGGCCCCCGCCTTCACCTTGATCGCGGAGCCGCCAGGCAACTTGTGGGTGACCACCTTCGAGCAGATGGGCTTCAGCCACACCCGCTTCCCGCCGATCTTCTTCCGCTTCTTGCAGTGCACCACGTTGTCGTGCACCACGCCCGTCGCGCGCATCTTGTAGCTGCGGGCTCAATCAGAGCGCAGGGTCACCTTTCTGTTCTCCAGGCGGCCCTTCAGGAACGGCGCCCAGTCACTCTTCTTGATGGCGCTTGGGCCTGGCGCGTTGGCTGCGGCGCCGTCAGTCTGGGTCTTCCATAGATCGAGGCCCCCAGGGCGCCCGCGCTCAACGACGCCCGCACATTGCCCCCACGTCGTGGAATGGCCGTCATCGGAGATTTGGGCGCGGAAGACCGCCTCGTCCGCCTCCACGTCGAACCAGCGCCGCTGGCCGCTGTCGCCGAAGACTATGTCCTTCTCCTTCTTTTCGACGTTGATCTTTCCGCACGGCCGCCATGGCCCTGCTCATGTCCTCGATCATCTTGTGGCCCACCCCTGTCAGCAAGTGCATCTGGGCGGCGGTCAAGCCGAGCGCGAGGCAGAAGAGGACCTTGGACCTTGGCCTTCGTCGACAGATTCGACGCGCGGCAGCCGCCGCCAGACTTGAAGACGGGGTGGGCAGTGCACGGGTGGACCGTCTTGCCGCGCAGCCTGCCGCTGTTGCACCGCCAACGCGGGCCGCGAGTGTCACCCCCCACCCGCGCGCCCAGGGCTCCCACGGCGCAGCGCGGGCAGGCGCGGCCTTCCCAGTCAAGCACCACGCCGTCCTCGATGAGCATGTCTACCATGTGGCTCGTAGTTTTCCCGCGGAAGCTGTCGTAGGTGCGGGGCCACGCCTCGCGCTCCTTGCGCGATGTCTCCGTCTTCTGGCCGTGGCGGACATACTCGACCTTCTTCTGTTGACTCTTCTTCTTCTGGTGTTGACCCATCCTGTCCTTGCACCTCTTGCGCAAAGGAAACGGCCTGAACGCTCCCGCCGGCCGTTCCCCCGGCGCGGGGGCGGCGGCGGCGCGCTTGATCGCGCTCTTCCCCATCGCCGATTGGAGCAGGGCGGTGGCTTAGACGGGCGGTCCAGCAAATGCGCACTGAGCGAAAATAAATTGAGGGCACGCCTTGAAGCTGGCGAGCACAGAGCCAAAATGGGCTGCGAGGGTGGCGGAAACGCTGTCGACGCATGGATGAGGGCATCCATTTTTGTCGGATGCCCTTTTTTCCCTGGGGGGGGGCTCAACTGTTTTCTGCTTGCCGCCGTTGGTATGATGTTGCTGCATTGCGTCGCTGTGTCTGTCAGCTGTTGCCGTTGTTGTTTCTGTCGTGGTGGCGTCGCTTCGATGGGTGGATGAGGGCATCCAATTTTTCGGATGCCCGGTATCCCTGCAGAGGACTCAGCTGTTTTCTGTCTGCCGACGTTGGTGTGATACTGCTGTGTTATGTCGCTGTTCTGTCGGCTGTTTCCGTTCTTACTTCCGTGGTGGTATTGTTTCTGATTGGCCGATTGTCGACGTTGCGGTCGTTGCTGTTATTGTTTCTCTGTTTGCCGCCGTCGGCGCGCTGCTGTGGCGACGCATCGTTGTCTCCGTTGGATGGCTGCGTCGCTGTACATGCTGTGTTTTTGTGCCTGATTGCCTGTCGTTGCGTTGTGTCGTTGTTCCTGCTGGTTGTCTGCGTGGCTGTTTCTGCTGCGTTGACGTTTCTGGTTTGACATTCCGCTGGTGTCGGTTTTGTTGTTTCCGTGAGCCCCTCTCCGTTTCTGGCGGGGTCGCGTTCCCCTTCTTCCTCCTCCCCCCCCCCAGGCCCGTCTCTGCGCGCCGTCGCCGCCCCCTCTCCTTTCCCCCGTTGCCCTTGTCAGCCCTTGCTCGCGCGGGCGGCGGGCTTGCTTTTCTCGCCCCACGCTGGCGCTGGCGGGGGGGCGGGCAGAGCGCCCCCGCCTACTGCCCGCAGCAGTGCCTAGTGCGGCGTTTCGGCGGCTGCTTCTCCCAGAGCCACATCTTCTTGGCGACCCAGAGACCAGGGCAGGCGGCCCACGACCACGCAAGAGAAGCGCTTCCACCACTCCCCCCACGCCCGCAGCCACCTCTCCGCGGAAGCCAGCGCGCCCCGATGACCAACGGGAAGAACGGGCAGAGAGGGCAGCAGGGCAGCAGCAGGGCGCAGCAAGGCCGCAGCAGGGCAGCAAGTCCCCAGCCTTCTGTCGCTGCCCGTTCCTCCAGTCGGTTTCCCGCGTCTGCTTGGAGAGCAGCTTCTTTTGCTCGTGGAAGGAGTCGTTGGCCTGCCCAAGCTGGCCCCATGTATTTGACACCAGATTGCGCGCGCGTGGGGACAGTAGGGCACCCGCAGAGCGCAGCAGGGCAGCAGCGAGCAGCAGGGCGCAGCAGCGCGCAGCAGGGCACAGCAGGGCAGCAGCGAGGTAGCAGCAGAGCAGAAGCAGGGCGCAGCAGCAGCAGCAGCTGTTGAGGGAGAGAGAACAGGGCAGTGGAGTTAGATATGCGCTCGTGTCCTCGGCGTTCAGGAGCATAGCGTGGATGTCGTTCCGCCGCTTCGTCGCCCTGTTTTTCTGCCGAAGGGCCTCGGCGACAGCCTTTTCCACAGCCTTGTCAAACCTAGCTTTCGCACGACGTTTAGACTCCTTCGCCCTTAGCGTTTACATGCGTCGTTTGCACTTGTAGTTGGCCCCCAGCTTGCGGTGGTACTCGGCCGAGCCCTTTGGAGGATTACCCATGGTTGCCTGGCGCCAGTGGCGCTTCAGGGGGCGTCGTGGACCTCGATTGCAAAAAATAGACCAACAGTGCATGAAGGTGACATGAATGATAACTGGACTCGCTCATCGAACCTAGCTCCCCATCCCCATTCTGTTCATCATCATCTCTCAGCACGTTTGGTTCCTCATCATATGCAGCCCTCCTCTCCCTACTCATCATCGTCATCATCGTCATCATCGTCATCGTCAGCATCATCAGCATCCGCAGCATCACCATCATCACCGTCATCATCGCCATGATGGTAACAAAGGATGAGGAAGAGCGACGGAGAGCGGGGAGCGGATGAGGGAGGGGGGAATATGTCCGATCATATGCGGGGTGGGGGGGGGGGAAGCACATACACGCATATATATATATATACACACGCATACACAATTATAATTAGTTGAACGTATAGAAGTATGTGTTTACACACATGTCATTGCATATACACAAATACACACATAATATGTGTTGGTATATACGCATACCCACATACATAAACACCAACAAGTTTACATGCATACATCACATACATACATATATAGATGCGCGCGTGTGCAGAGTGCGCGTGTTCTCAAGGCGGCATGCGCAGTGGCGATCGAAGTTATGTTACACAAATATTTAGAATATTTCCAACCGTTTGTTTACACTCGTGGGTGTTCGATGTATGTAGTCATCGCCATCAGCGCGTGTTTACTCCCACACATGCACACGACGGTGAAGCGATAACTTGCATGGTCATCGATTTTTTTGTCGTTCATACATATATATATATATATCCATATGAAATTATGAGCAAGCCCTGAAACACACACTGTTCGTTATAGAAGTAACGCAGGCATTCATAATTGAGCGCATTAGCAAACCAAGATGTTTTTGAGGACGTGTCCACATTCAATTGCCGATTGAATTTGTGGTGCGCGCAGGCGGTTGCAACTTGCAGAAGGGGGGAATACGATGGAGTTCCATGGAGAAAACACGGCAATTTTCTGTAGGCGTTCTCAATTTGATCTTTGGGCGCAACCATTTTCATATTCAGGCGATCAACGGCATTTCGTTATTGTGGTAATTGGGCGCAGCAATGATCGACGTGCCCTTCTCTTTCTAATGTGGTTATTGTCATGCGAACTTCCCGGACGGGCCTCGCACGCTCTAACGCAATGAATCGGAGAAAATACGGTGTATCGAGGCACGTTATTGTTAGAATGCTCGACGATTACAATAAAAATTATGGCGCGGAATCGGCCCCCCGCAAAAGTGAGACATAAATGGTATTGCAAGTTGCCGCAATACATACACACCCACACACACATACACACACGCACACATTTACATTCTGTGCTGAGAGATATGGCAAATATTCCCGACATACATGCCGAATGTGTTGATAATACAAAATTCCTACCTCCTTGTACGCACACCATGTCGGCGGTTTTTAGCAGTTTGTTCTTTGATATTCCTCCCGTCCGCCGTAGGTGGCGCGTTGTGCCCCAAGGCGTTGCTGGTAAGATGCAGCTTTTGCGATAGGCCTCAACTTTCACTGCCCTCGAAATCGCTGCGCGACTTAGGGGCGACTGCAACTTGGCTTCGCCACTCCCTGGCAGTGCGCTCCCGCACGTGCAGCTGGACAGGATTTTCTTGGGAGAAGTCTGAGGTACCCCAATGCGCCCAGGAGGGCCGGACTGCTTGTCGAGGCCAAATGCAAATGATATTGGAATTACCCCACGTGCAAGCAGAAGGATGTTGCCCGGCAGCGCCCGATGACTCTGCTTTCTCAATGAGAAATTCCGCGGCAATTCTTTTGTAAGCCCGCGCAGATGCGCAAGCGAAGGCGGAAAGGCCGCGCCGCCCGCATGAATAAAACAACGATGTCGGACCATTCGCCTGTAGGCACTCTGTGGCCCAACCTCGCCTGAATGCGTGAGTCCCCCAGTCGGAAGCATTACTAAAACCGCAAGCTCGGGCTGCCAGCTTCAATTTGGCGAAATTCTCGCAGCAGCTGGTCCCTGAAAACGACCGCCCTTTGGATCCGGCTCAGGGGGGCGACACAAACACCGCACAGAATTTGACATGGCAGGCTACAGATGCATTTTCTGACCACCCGCACCCGCTCTGCATAGCAATTTCTGCGCACATACGCAATCGTCATTTCATTGCGTGTTCTGTTCGCTGCAACGATGCTAGCGGGAGCCGTTGACGACCCCACTTGCTATATTTCACCACAGCTCAAGCAAGAATGTTTCGCCACCGCCCAGGACGCGCCAACGCCCACACCATATCGCCAAAGCTCTGGTTTCCAAAGCTGTCGCCCGCACGCGCGACCGTCTGAGCGATCCGTCCGCCTTCTGCCCCTCGGACCGCTAGCGCCGCGTCCGCAGGAGGGCCCAAAGGACACCGCAACCAAAGAAGGACTGAACGGAGATGCGATCGATAGCGCCCCAGAGTCCCAGCCGCGCGGAACAGCCGGACACGCGCGTGGACGGTGGCTGGAGTGGGCGGCCACGGAGCAACCCCACAATGGAAAGCCATTCCCATAGAGCCGCGCTGCTGAGAAAATGCCGCGAGCGCTTGCCTTCAGCCGCAGGAAGCCCGCCGCGCAGCCTGCTCGGCCAGAGCCTCTGCGTCGGCCCCCCGCGGCCCCCCGGGCAAAACTTGCCTTTGAGGGCGCAGGGGCCGAACAGGCATGATCTCTTTCGACTTGACCAATGCCAGAATCAAGTCTGCCAGGACAGTTGGGTCGGGCGCTTTCCAGATGCCCGCGCAGCCGCGCGAAGCCTCGAAGCGGCTCGCGCGACCGTTGTCGCCCAGCTGGCTGGCCCGGAGACGGCGCCCGGCAGCGGGGCCGACCGATCAGCCGACTTCGGGGTTTCTCGCGCAACAGTTTTGGGCGCAGTCCTCGCCCATCCCCAGCGGGGGCGACGCGCAGCTCTTTTCCCGCATGGTTCCAGGAAGACCGACGAACGCAGCCGGAACGTCAGCCAGCGCGGTCCAGTGCTCTCGCGCCTCCTCCGTTGCGCGCCTGGGAATCCCGATGGGGAAACGCTGCCTGCTGCGAACAACTCCGCGCGGAGACGAGCACTATGAACATGTCTTTTGGCGGCCCCGGCTGATCGCCGCAAATGATCGCCCGCCTCCGACAATGCTACAACGGCCGCCGCGCCAGACTCCAGTCGGAGCCTCAAATCCTGCGAGGAGGCGCCGGCTCCTATCCGCGCACGACTCCGCTGAATGAAATTCAACATGCGAGCCAGACCGGCCGCGGAACGCAGCGCCTCCATTCGGCATGACAGGGGCACCACAGAAGAATGGCCGGCAGCGGGTCTCATTTTTGCCCATGACTCCGATCAGCCCCCCGAGGCCCAAGGCAGCGCACGGGGCCGAGCCCATTCAAACCACTTACAACAAGGCGCCGGGGAAAGCTCTACATTGTGGCGAGAATGACTAAAGCAATGAGAAGCGGCTGTCACGCCTGGCCCTTCTGGCCATGAATTTAGATACCAGAAGCCATTTGCTCGTGGGATTTGGCGTAGAAAGCGAGCGCGGTGCCAGGCTTGGGTGGCGCAGCGAACACTTTATATATACATGATCATACATGTTCTTCTGCTTTTTATGATTGCTCGTCGTTTCCCCCCCTCCCCCGCCCCCCCCCCCCCTCTTCGAACGCCGGGCGGGTGGTCGGCATCGACCGTTTAGCGGGCAAGACGGCTTACAAAACAATATTAGTGGTTCATACGTGAGCGCACGCACCGCGCCGACGGCCCTCGACGCTGTCTGCGCAGCGCCCAATTCACGCTCACAGGGCGCGCCCGCCCGATCACTCGGCATTGCCAGAGGGCGCCGCCGCCGACCCCGAGGCCTGGGCGCCCTGTTCAATCGGGCGCCCGCGCTCGGCTTCGATGGGAGCCGTCGTTGTCGTCGCCATCGTCGGCGGCGATGAACGCCCCATTGGCCGAGGCGGCGATAGAGGCGAAGATCGCCTCCTGCTCCGCGGCGCCCACCTCCGACAGCGAACCTCCGCATCCCATCATGAGCCTCTTCGCCCTCTTCACAGGCGGAGGCGAGCACAAGTCCTCGAAGGCGTCGTGGCGCGCCCTGGCGAGGCCCTTGAAAATGGCGATCTGCTCGCCCTGGCCCTCCTTCGTCAGTTCCCCGCGACGCCCCGCGATGCCAGGCTGCGCGGCGCTTGCGGCGGGGGCGCTCTCCTCTGGCCCCTCCATGCCGCCGCCGAAACCGAACGCGTCCTCCTCCTCATATGGTGCGTCTGCCGCTCCATCGGAACGAGACGCCGAGGCGGCCGCGGGGGCGGACGGAGCGCTCGCCGCCGCGCCTGGCGCGAACCCCGAAATGGCGCTGGCAACGGAAACCGTGCGTCCAGGGCCATCACCAAACATCGGGGCAATGTGGACAGTCGCAACCGTGGGCACGTCACGGCCCTCCACCAAATTCTTCATGTAGCCGATAGACCAGTCCATCTTCTCGGCGCAGTTTGAAGGGAGCGGGCGGGCAGCGGGCGACGACGTGTCCCGCACCTCGCCGGAGAAGAGGTCGGAGGTTCTGGGGTTGGGCCACGGCATGAACTCGGCGCCGTTCTCCAGATCTGCGGACGCCTCGCGCCAGTGCACCCCGAGGTCCGTGACCACGGCGAAGTGCGACCTGGCGAGGATGGCATTGAAGTCCCCCTCGGTCTTCACCTCCTCAAGCGACGGGACGACGATGCGCTTGAAGTGGTCCAAGTCGTACTTGTTGCGCGTCGCGGCAGCCAACGCCGCCCTCTCCGCGCCGCGGTCGCATGGGTTAGCAACGGCTTGCTTGCGCGACCCTTGCTCGAAAGCGCAGCCGCCCCTCCGAGCCCACAGCAGAGCATCCCCCTCCTTGGGGTTGAAGAAAGCCTTGAGAACGTCAGCCGTTACCTTCAGGCGGCCACGCGTTGGCCCTACCACCGCCACCAAGACTTCCAAGTGGGAGAGGGTCGCAAGGGTTCGCTTCGCCCGAAGCCTCCCCGACGAAAGGAACCGCCCCCCCCCCCCCCAGGAAAGAGCGGGTAGCAAGGGTAGGCGCTACGCGTGACCACCGAACCTTCTGCAAGAGGCCGTCGTCGAAAGTCTCGGGCAGGACGTCCGTCGTCGGCTCGCCCTTGAAGAAATCCATGTGCTTGACAGTGAGGAAGGCGGCATCGTCGGCGGACCCCTTCTTCTGGATGCTGCACGCTGAGTGCACCCAAGCCAAAGTCTTAGAGCCGTTGCTCTTGCCGACCCTGGTCTTCCCGGTCCACAATACCCCGTGCATATGGAGGGTGCCAATCATGAACTTGAGGACGCCGTTGAGGAACCAGCCAGCGAAGTCCTTCACCGTCAAACTCCACCGCGTGATCGGCTCGGCGTTTGTCCTCCCTCTCTGGTAGTTGCGCAAAGCGGTCTCCACCTTGGCGGCTGGCCAACCGAAGATTTTCGATCCCTCTCTACTCACCTCCACGTCGGCCCACTCCATGAACTGGTTCCTGTTGTTACTGCGAGGGCCATGCTCGCGGATGAACGCGCACCCTTGCGAGAGCTCATACGCCTCTAGCGGCTGCTTCCGCTCGCGCTGCGGCTTGATCGCGCAGTACCTTACAGCGGAGGCCTTGGATAAGGATGCCCTCGATAAGGAAGCAGGGGTCTCGCGGCCGAGAGGCGCTCAAACACGTGCCACCCAGCCCAGGGGGGGGGGGGGGATGCGCCTGCGCCTGGCGCTCAGGAGGGCGTTCCTTATCGAATGCCCCCACCGTATCTGATAGCCCTCGGGCTTCTCCAGCATGAACTGGAACGCAATCGACCCCGACCTGAAGTTGTCGCCGTAGTCGATCTCGTGGGCCTCCCCGCGGGCGCAGCTGAGGATGGTCGCAGCATCGACTCTGTTCTTCTCGAAGCTGACAACCTTGAGGATGCGGTAGGTCGAGCACTCGGGGTCCGCGGGGTTCTCGCGCGTGATGAACAGCTGCAGCGTGCACGGAATGGCAGGCTCCTTCTTGAGCGACAATGGGTCCTGCAAGTCCTTGAAGTTACCATTGCAGCACAGCTCGTGGACCTTGTCGAAGTCGATTGGGCCCGCGTAGTTGGACACGACGTCAGCGAATGCGACCAGCTTCGTAGTGCTCGAGTTTGCGATCGGTACCAAGGGGAGATCAAAAACAGAAAGGTCCCCGCCGACGGACAACCTGTCCTTCTTGACGCATTTTGAAGGGTGGCAGTCCACCTTGCCCCCGCTGACCATCAAGCCCGCCTCCTCGAAGGTCAGCTTGCCGTCGCCGGCAGCGCCGTAGGCGACCTGCCCCAAGGAGGGCACCTGGGCGGCAGGAGCGCTCGCCATGGCTGGCGAGGAGAAGACGGCGGGGGTCGGGATCTGCCTGAGGCCTGCGCCTGCGATTGAGCCGAAAACAGCTACGAACAAAAGGATGTCAGCAATGACGCGGTCATTGCTGCTAGGTGGCACGACTGGCGACTTGCCCCGCTGCACCTGCCCTGATCTCCCCTCTCTCTCTCTCTCTCTCTTTCTCTTTCTCTCTCTCTCTCTCTCTCTCTCTCTCTCTCTTTCTCTCTCTCTCTCTCTCTCTCTCTCTCTCTCTCTCTCTCTCTCTCTCTCTCTCTCTCTCTCTCTCTCTCTCTCTCTCTCTCTCTCTCTCTCTGCACCGCTGCCCGTGGCCCCGCATTTCCGTGGTAAGCACCGCCCTCAGTGTAAGCAAGAGTACTCGCGCCCCCTGCACAGGCCGCTCATGACGCGACTATCATGCCGAAGCCGCCTCAGTAAGCCGAGTCCATGGCCTCCAAGATAGCGCTTGCGGTCGCCGCCCACAAGTCCTGGCCACTGTTCCAACACTCGAACTGGGCCGAGCGCACGGAAGCCGCGAGCTGCCAGTTGCCTGGAAGGTATGTGCGAGTGCCGATGAGATTCCCGATGAACCTCCATGCGCGGTCTATGATTTGGGCCCCCGCCTTCACCTTGATCGCGGAGCCGCCAGGCAACTTGTGGGTGACCACCTTCGAGCAGATGGGCTTCAGCCACACCCGCTTCCCGCCGATCTTCTTCCGCTTCTTGCAGTGCACCACGTTGTCGTGCACCACGCCCGTCGCGCGCATCTTGTAGCTGCGGGCTCAATCAGAGCGCAGGGTCACCTTTCTGTTCTCCAGGCGGCCCTTCAGGAACGGCGCCCAGTCACTCTTCTTGATGGCGCTTGGGCCTGGCGCGTTGGCTGCGGCGCCGTCAGTCTGGGTCTTCCATAGAACGAGGCCCCCAGGGCGCCCGCGCTCAACGACGCCCGCACATTGCCCCCACGTCGTGGAATGGCCGTCATCGGAGACTTGGGCGCGGAAGACCGCCTCGTCCGCCTCCACGTCGAACCAGCGCCGCTGGCCGCTGTCGCCGAAGACTATGTCCTTCTCCTTCTTTTCGACGTTGATCTTCCGCACGGCCGCCATGGCCCTGCTCATGTCCTCGATCATCTTGTGGCCCACCCCTGTCAGCAAGTGCATCTGGGCGGCGGTCAAGCCGAGCGCGAGGCAGAAGAGGACCTTGGACCTTGGCCTTCGTCGACAGATTCGACGCGTGGCAGCCGCCGCCAGACTTGAAGACGGGGCGGGCAGTGCACGGGTGGACCGTCTTGCCGCACAGCCTGCCGCTGTTGCACCGCCAACGCGGGCCGCGAGTGTCACCCCCCACCCGCGCGCCCAGGGCTCCCACGGCGCAGCGCGGGCAGGCGCGGCCTTCCCAGTCAAGCACCACGCCGTCCTCGATGAGCATGTCTACCATGTGGCTCGTAGTTTTCCCGTGGAAGCTGTCGTAGGTGCGGGGCCACGCCTCGCGCTCCTTGCGCGATGTCTCCGTCTTCTGGCCGTGGCGGACATACTCGACCTTCTTCTGTTGACTCTTCTTCTTCTGGTGTTGACCCATCCTGTCCTTGCACCTCTTGCGCAAAGGAAACGGCCTGAACGCTCCCGCCGGCCGTTCCCCCGGCGCGGGGGCGGCGGCGGCGCGCTTGATCGCGCTCTTCCCCATCGCCGATTGGAGCAGGGCGGTGGCTTAGACGGGCGGTCCAGCAAATGCGCACTGAGCGAAAATAAATTGAGGGCGCGCCTTGAAGCTGGCGAGCACAGAGCCAAAATGGGCTGCGAGGGCGGCGGGAACGCTGTCGACGCATGGATGAAGGCATCCATGTTTGTCGGATGTCATTTTTCCCTGGGGGGGGCTCAACTGTTTTCTGCTTGCCGCCGTTGGTATGATGTTGCTGCATTGCGTCGCTGTGTCTGTCAGCTGGTGCCGTTGTTGTTTCTGTCGTGGTGGCGTCGCTTCGATGGGTGGATGAGGGCATCCAATTTTTCTGATGCCCGGTATCCCTGCAGAGGACTCAGTTGTTTTCTGTCTGCCGACGTTGGTGTGATATTTCTGTGTTATGTCGCTGTTCTGTCGGCTGTTTCCGTTCTTACTTCCGTGGTGATATTGTTTCTGATTGGCCGATTGTCGACGTTGCGGTCGTTGCTGTTCTTGTTTCTCTGTTTGCCGCCGTCGGCGCGCTGCTGTGGCGACGCATCGCTGTCTCCGTTGGATGGCTGCGTCGCTGTACATGCTGTGCTTTTGTGCCTGATTGCCTGTCGTTGCGTTGTGTCGTTGTTCCTGCTGGTTGTCTGCGTGGCTGTTTCTGCTGCGTTGACGTTTCTGGTTTGACATTCCGCTGGTGTCGGTGTTGTTGTTTCCGTGAGCCCCTCTCCGTTTCTGGCGGGGTCGCGTTCCCCTTCTTCCTCCCCCCCCCACCAGGCCCGTCTCTGCGCGCCGTCGCCGCCCCCTCTCCTTTCCCCCGTTGCCCTTGTCAGCCCTTGCTCGCGCGGGCGGCGGGCTAGCTTTTCTCGCCCCACGCTGGCGCCGGCGGGGGAGCGGGCAGAGCGCCCCCGCCTACTGCCCGCAGCAGTGCCTAGTGCGGTGTTTCGGCGGCTGCTTCTCCCAGAGCCACATCTTCTTGGCGACCCAGAGACCAGGGCAGGCGGCCCGCGACCACGCAAGAGAAGCGCTTCCACCACTCCCCCCACGCCCGCAGCCACTTCTCCGCGGAAGCCAGCGCGCCCCGATGACCAACGGGAAGAACGGGCAGAGAGGGCAGCAGGGCAGCAGCAGGGCGCAGCAAGGCCGCAGCAGGGCAGCAAGTCCTCAGCCTTCTGTCGCTGCCCGTTCCTCCAGTCGGTTTCCCGCTTCTGCTTGGAGAGCAGCTTCTTTTGCTCGTGGAAGGAGTCGTTGGCCTGCCCAAGCTGGCCCCATGGATTTTACACCAGATTGCGCGCGCGTGGGGACAGTAGGGCACCCGCAGAGCGCAGCAGGGCAGCAGCGAGCAGCAGGGCGCAGCAGCGCGCAGCAGGGCACAGCAGGGCAGCAGCGAGGTAGCAGCAGAGCAGAAGCAGGGCGCAGCAGCAGCAGCAGCTGTTGAGGGAGAGAGAACAGGGCAGTGGAGTTAGATATGCGCTCGTGTCCTCGGCGTTCAGGAGCATAGCGTGGATGTTGTTCCGCCGCTTCGTCGCCCTGTTTTTCTGCCGAAGGGCCTCGGCGACAGCCTTTTCCACAGCCTTGTCAAACCTAGCTTTCGCACGACGTTTAGACTCCTTCGCCCTTAGCGTTTACATGCGTCGTTTGCACTTGTAGTTGGCCTCCAGCTTGCGGTGGTACTCGGCCGAGCCCTTTGGAGGATTACCCATGGCTGCCTGGCGCCAGTGGCGCTTCAGGGGGCGTCGTGGACCTCGATTGCAAAAAAAAATACCAACAGTGCATGAAGGTGACATGAATGATAACTGAACTCGCTCATCGAACCTAGCTCCCCATCCCCATTCTGTTCATCATCATCTCTCAGCACGTTTGGTTCCTCATCATATGCAGCCCTCCTCTCCCTACTCATCATCGTCATCGTCGTCATCATCGTCATCGCCAGCATCATCAGCATCCGCAGCATCACCATCATCACCGTCATCATCGCCATGATGGTAAAAAAAGGATGAGGAAGAGCGACGGAGAGCGGGGAGCGGATGAGGGAGGGGGGAATATGTCTGATCATGTGCGGGGTGGGGGGGGGGAAGCATATACACACACACGCACACACATATATATATATATATATATATATATATATATATATATACACGCATGCACAATTATAAATAGATGAACGTATAGAAATATGTGTTTATACACATGTCATTGCATATACACAAATACACACATAATATGTGTTGTTATATACGCCTACCCACATACATAAACACCAACAAGTTTACATGCATACATCACATACATACATATATAGATGCGCGTGTGTGCAGAGTGCGTGTGTTCTCACTTGTGTTGGTTGTCCGACGTTTGCTAATTGTTTTTCCCCGCCACCCTCCAGACCATATAATATGCATACAGATATGCATATTCATATATACGTGGGTATGTATACAACTGTATACAGCAGAAACATTCCATACCACATTCAGAATCCGCCCACCCTCGATGTATTTGCTGCATTGCAATATTGAATGCGTTGTCCAAACCGCTCCTAGATCAATTTTGAACAAAAAACGAGGACGGCAAAACATACACAACAAAAAAGCAACAAACGAATTCCGAATCAGCGAGCAAACGGCGCACAATAGTTCGCAGGCCGTGAATCACAGATTCCGGGGGGGCCTCGAATCACATTTTCTGGGATTTTGACATGAAGCGTTATGGGTTTTGAATCGCAAGCTCTGGGGTCAGCACGTATGGCGGGCATTCCATGATGCTATTAAAATGAGGGCAGGAGGAAAGGCGGCATGCGCAGTGGCGATCGAAGTTATGTTACACAAATATTTAGAATATTTCCAACCGTTTGTTTACACTCGTGGGTGTTCGATGTATGTAGTCATCGCCATCAGCGCGTGTTGACTCCCGCACATGCACACGACGGTGAAGCGATAACTTGCATGGTCATCGATTTTTTTGTCGTTCATACATATATATATATATCCATAGGAAATTATGAGCAAGCCTTGAAACACACACTGTTCGTTATAGAAGTAACGTAGGCATTCATAATTGAGCGCATTAGCAAACCAAGATGCTTTTGAGGACGTGTCCACATTCAATTGCCTATTGAATTTGTGGTGCGCGCAGGCGGTTGCAACTTGCAGAAGGGGGGAATACGATGGAATCCATTCAAGGAACACGGCAATTTTCTGTAGGCGTTCTCAATTTGATTTTTGGGCGCAACCATGTTTGGGCGCCCTTCTCTTTCTAATGTGGTTATTGTCATGCGAACTTCCCGGACGGGCCTCGCACGCTCTAACGCAATGAATCGGAGAAAATACGGTGTA